TGAAAGAGGCCCATCCCAGAATAGCTAACAGCTACCTCATGGTAGGGCACTCACAGGCTACATGGGACACCCAAGTTCATGTTTCTGTTTTGATTGATTCAGGCCATGGACTTAAATTTTAGTCTCTTATCCCAGGTGAGTATGCTATGAACTATACTAATGTCTGCTTTTGACTGGGAATTCTGAACTGGTTGGCTTTTGAGATGAACCTGAACAACCTTGCATCAGAATTGATATGTTTGGGGGAAATGTTTCAGCTTCAGTGAATTGGCGTTTTCTCATGAAAAACTTTAAATTCCAATCAAGTCTACCTAGAAACCTCCTGTGGATCACTGCAGTCCTTGCAACAAAGTATGGTTTTTATTGTAACAGTAAGTTGATAGGTCAACTATTTCTAATACTCAAGGCTATTCTACATTGAGCTTATTTAATTTATGGGGAGCAGAAGCAAAATAAGTTAAATTTTAGAGGCGGCAGTTTGGTAGAGAATTAAATTTGGGTGTTGCTTGTCCTTTCTGAGAGAGAAGCATACCTAAAATAGAGAAGAAATGTTATTTAGGTAAAAATGTGGTATCTATTATTAGACCAACTGAATAGCTGGAAAAATTGTTCCTTTCAGGCACAAGCACCCTTCTTCAGGTATAGGGAGAGTCTGCTGGTGTTTGTCTACTCTCTAGGGTTGAATAGAAGTGTAAGCCACTATACAAAATGCAGGTCTGAAAATGCAAATACATGGCAGGGAAGATCAGAGGGGGATAGGAGTTAATGGGTGTGAGACAGGTAGGTGGTGGTGGGGAAATAAAAGAGGGAATGTTGACTGGTGATAAAATGTAGCTGGTAAAATGTAGAGAAGTTACCTGGAGTTATTGGATGGCAGGCAGGTTATAATGTGACATAAATCCAATGATTGCCTATATGTCCATGATTTTTTGTATTCAAAAAATCCACTTCAGATTTATGAAGTGAAGTTCATAGGCTTATCTACGAAAGTTGTTTTGTAAATTCCCTTTGAGGATCAGAACTGAGAGATTGAAGAGAGAGTGTTTGTGTTGTGAGAAATGTGCACTCACAGATAACTGGGTATTTTTGTCTTTGAGAGATTTTCAGTGTGCATTCACTCTGGTATGTAGTTGTTGTTTGGTTTCTCCTAGATAGTTTCCATCAAGGCATTCAGCACGCTGGGTGAGATATATTCCATTTCTGGAGGTGCAGGTTTAAGATCTAGGAATGGTGATGGTTCTGTTGTAGGGCATGGTTATTGTGGGAGTGGTGGAGACGTATTGGCAGTTTTACATTTCTTGTCCCATCATGGTCTGGATCTAATCAGTGTACTTTGGGCCTTAGGAAGTTTATAGGAAGTAAAGAAGAATTTTTACAACTATTCAGTTGTTCTAGTAAAAGACAAACTTCCAACACCTCTGAAATAGAGAAGAATATATGAAAAAAGACATTGATAAGATGCTCCCATAATGAGTGTCTCTGAGGGGATAAAGGAGAAAGACAAAAAAAAGGGGGGAGGAGGAACAGTACATGTTACAGTTTTATGAAATTAAACATTTTGCAAGTTCTTCTTAATATTTTGGGCAGCTTTCCGCATATGAAATAGCATTATTTTCAAGCCAGAAGAAAGACCCTAGCATTACACAAAGTATCCTAACCTTTTCAGTGCCTTATAGATATCATATCCCTCATGTGACCTTACAGATAAATGGTACATCATCAGTCCTGCAAAATGTAGTGCTTAAATGTTAGCCTCCTAACATGGATTCAGATCCATTATATTAGCAGTTAATTAACTTACTTCACAAGGACTGCTCACTTGTGATATTGTATTACAACTGCAGTCTCTTTGTTTTGTGTTAGAGTTTGTAGCTCGCTTAAAAGTGAAAAGATTAGGTAAGGCAAATAAAGGAATCTTATTGCAAGTGGAGAAGGATCATTTCAATTTAAGTAACAGAACAGACCTTTTTAGAGCTCTTTTATAGTAATTTAACAAAACCTTCATATCAGCCTTGGTGTGCTGTGAGTGGATTTGGTGACAAAGTGTAACTCTAAACTGAAGTGTCAACAAGAAGCAAGATTATTCATCCCTAAAATCATGGAACTGCCCCTTTGCTTTTGTCTAAACTCACCTTTTGCAAGCTCTATCTCACACTTACTGGTGTTACATGCTAATGTATGGCGAGCCCCCTGAAAGCCTGATCATGTTGGGAGAGAAAAGAAGGTATTGGTGGAGTGCTGCTTTTACAGAAAAGCACTCAGGGCTGAGAGGTCACAAAACCTCTTATTTGGCTCAAGGCTTTTGGGAACGTGGTAAGTCCCAGGCTTCAGGCTGTATAATGAATAGCACTTGCTGACTAGTTACATTTTTTTGCTATCAACAGGGGTTAGTACTGCTCAGCATAACGAGCCAAGACTCAGTGTGTTAAGTATGCACAGGTTTGAAAGTGCCTTTTTTCCTCTTTGGTTTTGAAATACAATTTTATTTTAAAGGAAATTATATTAAAATGAGGCACCCTATGGTGCTAGATACTATAAAGGTTGATAAGTACAAGAGATGCAGAAGAGACAATCTTAGCTCAGGGAGTTAAAAGTTTAGGTTGCCTAAAATCAAGAGAGTAGAACAGGGATTATACTTAGAATATAGGGGGCACATGTGTGGTGTTAACAGTTAAGAGCTGGGCAGAATATTTTAATGGATAGTAAATATGCTAAAAATGTGATTTCAGTCACCTGAAAATATTTAGAAATCCAAGTTGTATTCAGCTGGGAATAATTTTCCAAGGCCATGTTCGCAGAACTCCTGGAAGCATTCCCTTTTACTAAATAACTTATTAGTTATGGTACTTGTCCATGGCATTGGACAATCAATTTCAGTTTCCTACTGTATCCTAGGACATTCAAACTCAGATGTCCTGAGGTCTAGAAGAGTACCCTAACCATCCAGGGGCAGGGGAAAGGGGGATCTCAACCTCTCCAATGTTAAGAGCATTCCATGTTGTATAAATAGACATTCATTTGAGCAGGGCCAGGCTCCAGTACTGTATCTTCCAGTGAGCATCCCGATCAGAAGGCCAGCACATCATTTTCACTCTCTGTTTCAAAGAATGCTAGATATTTTATAAAAAGTGGAATGGCTTCAGCAGGAACATATTGAGGAAAAGGTTCAGAATAAGTTATTGGCCATGGGTTGGGGACTGGAAAAAACACTCACCCTCTTTTTGTGGCTTTGTAAATTTAACTCTTTGTTGCCATTGCAGTTCTTACAAGTGAACAAAGTAAAATATTCAGTTTTAGGTCTGATAGTACCTTTTATGTCAAGCACAGTGACATTTTTCATTTAGATTAGAGCAACACCAAAAAAAACAAGCGAATCTCAATCTGATGCCATCTCCCCCCCATATGGTTCATAATAATAATAAAAATATTTGCACGGGTGTAGTAACAGTGTACGATATTATAACACTATAGTACTTGCATATATTGCATGCTCTCATCTTTGTTTTTGCCTCCCACATTGAATGAATGACATAACCTAATGGGGTTCTTCCTCCTGTTACATGAGATGGTGGGCCTGAAAAAGCACTAGGCTTATGCAATAGCATCATGTTCATCATGATGTGGTATTGCATGACCATCTTAACTATGTATCTATGGAGCACTAATCACCCTGATTTCTAATGCTGGGAAGAAGTGGTGCAGTAACACACCAACCTCATTTTCTCCATCTTATTCAGTAGCCTCATTTCCACTTAAAAATGCTGTAAAGGCATTCTGTTAGTGAGGATCTGTGTGAAAAATGAGAACTGTCTCTCAAGAAAATCCTTATTACATTCTCATCCAGGAATGGCACTGTAACTCTTAAAAATTACAGCAAGTAACAGATCATTGTGTTGAATCCCATGGGTGTTCATGCTGTTTGAGATGGCTGAAATTTTCCTTCCATGGTTGTGGTAGCATTTTCTTTTGGAGTGTCCAGAACTCCCCATCTTTCCTCTTAAGTCCTAGAGTTGACATTGTCTTCTGTGTCTCACAGAAGAGTACCTACTTGTAACATCCTTTTTTTGCCCATCAAAACCACTTTTGACTTGGTCAGCTGGGGGCAGACAGTAGTGTAATAGTGATCTGGACACCGGCCCTGGGCATCCACTTGGGGCCCAAGAACAACAGCCACTGCTGCTGCCATGGTTGGCCCAAACCCTGCTGTTGGCCTGGCCCCTACTACAACCCCTGCTATTCAGGGCACAGATCCGGGTAGTTATGCTTGGGGAAAATAACCATGATGCATTGGTCAAGAGCTCCCTTCTCAGAGGGAATGCTAATATCATGCTGCTTCTTCAGAATTACCTGTGAATCCCTCAATGGGCTGACCTTGAGGACATCATTGCAAGGGTGGCAATGTGATCTGGTGGACAGATCACTGCACTGGGATTCAGGTCACCTGGTTTCTTGTCTTAGTTCTATCAGCTCTTGGGCAAGTCTCCTTGCCTATTGCTTCCTCATTGTTGCTACTTTAAAACAGTGATAATGGTGAAAAATTTTCTTTTTAAAGCACCTTGAGATCTAACAATGGAAGGTGCCATATATGAGCTAGGCATGCACTATTATTCATATTGTTCTTTTTCCATTAATACTGAAAAGATAGCAAGGTTTTGCATGCTTCTTTTGCTATCTCTGAGGCAAATTCTGTTGGCATGTATCTTCATAAAGTCCAGGTCATCATTGCAAAAGATAAACATAATTAAAAAGTATTTACTTTTTCCAGGTTGCTCAGTTTAGATGCTTGGAACTGGCGGGTGTTATTGTTGCTGCTGCTGTTGTTGTTTTAACTTAGAGCTTCTAATTGCAATACTTCTAGATCAACACATGTATGCATGCTGAGCATAATTTTTGGGGTATGAATGGCAGGGATCAAATGGCTTTCCCTGGTGTTCTTATTTCCTTCATTTTCCAGGAATGGCTAGCATATTACAAATAACAAACCATTTTGTGTATTTCAGAAATATACCCCTCGCAATAGGCATTTCAATGGTTACTGTCACAGTTGGCTATGTATTAACAAATATAGCTTATTTCACAACAATCAGTCCTGAGGAACTGCTGAGTTCAAATGCAGTGGCAGTGGTAAGTGTTGGAGGATAAAATACAGATCTATACAGCTGGCTATAACAGATTTAGTTGTATTTGATTTCTTCTGAAAATAAGGATAAAAAGAGCAGGAAATATACAATCAGATTTCTTTTGTTCAGCTTCTCTTTAAGGCTCTGGTTTCACAAAGCTCAAGTCTTTTTGAATTGAAATAGATTGTTTATTGATTAATAGGCTTTGGGAGATCTTAGAAAAACATTAGCTCAGGTAACTTAAAAAAAAGCCAGTGGGACTTAAGCATGTGCTCAATGTCTGGCAAATAGTTAAATGGTGGTGATGATAATTGTTCTTCTAATGGCTTCTGTATTCTGATCAAGTAAATATATTCCCATACACATCATGGCACAGTGTACTGCATTCAAAAGCTGGTAAAATTTCTCCCAACCCTGCAGTTGGTCCAATAAAAGATACCACCCACACAAATCCTTGCCTCTTACATATCAAGAATGTAGATTATTTTAGATTTTGATCCATTCAGACTAAGTCTCCTTTATAGGATGCAAAAAAATTTCTCGATAACATGTTTTAAGCAATACATGTTTAAACAATACATAGGCCAGCGTTATCACTTTTATGCCATGTTGATTTTAATTATTTAACCAAATCAGCTAGCTCTTGTTATTAATCATTCCTAGCTGTGAACAACACATTTAGGAATGATGGGTGTCTGTACATGTGCTCTGGGTGTGGGGTTGAGTGCTTTAATTAAAGTGCCTACAGAGACTTGTGTATTCAGTGCCCCGAATGTCAAAGTGGCAGCAGGGGCACTTTATCTAAAGCTTGCTTGATGAGCTTTAGTTAAAGTACCCCTGCCGCCATTTTGAAGCACAGGGACTCTGAATGCATGTGACATGGAGGCTGCTGGAGTGTGCTAATTACATAAATCAGATCTGCTCGAATGCACTAGTGCTTCAGAGCAGCTTCTCTGCGTGTCTATAGGCACCCGTTATGGCTAGCGTGTCAAGCCATCTTTTCCTCTTTAGCCTGAAAGAGTAGGCATTCATTTACAGCTGGGTAGACTGGGACAGTCTTCATTATGTGTGGAGAACAAGCCTCCAACTCACATCTGTAGGTTGTAAGATGCCTTAACTATTCAGGCAATCTGCCTTGGCTTAATTGGCAAATAGACACAAGTAAGTTGCTTTCTAGTCTATGAGAGTGACAGACTCCAATTTTAACAAGAGACGATGACAAATGTACAGCACAGTATGTCAGTGAATGTTGCACAATGGGATATGATTAATGCTTAAAAAATAATATTTTTGTCTCTGTTGTTTTCTGGTAACACCAGTGAATTCATGTCTTTCTCTCTTTACCAGACTTTTGCTGAACAATTAATGGGAAGATTTTCTTTAGCTGTCCCAATTTTTGTCGCTCTTTCCTGCTTTGGATCTATGAATGGTGGCATATTTGCTGTCTCCAGGTGAGCAGATATAAACATGATTAAAGAGAATATGGATGGAAGGGTTAGGACAGGACTCCAAAGCAAGGATATATGAGAGCAAGATTTGTTCCTTTAAATACTGTAAAACATTGGCTGCTAGAGTCTTTATTGTCTGGGGAGATTTACCATTTTGCCTGCATGGGCTTTAATATGTTGATAAATTATTGAATTGTTTTAAAAAGCAATCCCAATTGAGGATAGTATCAAATTAATTATTTCTTTATTTCATGTGATGGGACAAATGTAAAACATAGTACAAAATTAACTATGTGTTAAAGACTGATCATGTGGTATACACACAGTGCAGAAACTTTTTGCTTTTGATTTCTGAGTGTGACTTCTCCAAAGATACTTTCAAATCAGAATTAGGGGTACTGCTGTGTTCTACTTTTTTGCTGTGACTTGTCTTTGTAATAAGGGTATTTAAAGTCTCTCCACATTTATTTCCCATCAGGATGTTCTACGTTGCATCCCGTGAGGGTCACCTTCCAGAAATTCTCTCCATGATTCATGTCCGCAAGCACACTCCTCTGCCAGCTGTCATTGTTTTGGTAAATCATGCAAACAAATGTTCCTGCCCAAGATTGCATATTACAGGCTTGTGCTGGAGGATTCAAGCAGAACTTGGGCTCTGCTTGAGTCTTGCTTATTTATTCATATTTCGGGGTTTGGTTAGGGGCAGAGGGGAGTAAACACAGGAACGAGACTCTGAAGTGATCTATTCTACTGCCTCCTCCTCTGCATCTTGCTGGTAGCACTTAACTCTCTGTGCCTGGTATCTAAATAATGTCTCATTATGCCTTATTTCTAAGGATTTGGAAAGGAAATTATTAGCTGGTCCCCTTTCAGAGAACAAATTCTCATAGAAAAGGGTATAGAGAAATAAAATTCACACGCACTTAATTGAAAGTGCACCTAAACAGTAGTGTCTGAGAGCACACTAAAGACTCATTATAGCTACCTTACAGTGAAAAACACAACCAATTATATGCAAAGATAATGGAGTGGGAGCCCTCAGCAGTGCAGTGCATATGTGATTAAAAAGTCAGAGAGCATGTGTTTAAAAAGACAGCTATCAGAGAAGCAACTGTGAAGGGGCAATAAAAAAGGGAAATGAACTGGGCAGTATAGTGTTGGGTCTGTTACCAATGCAGTGTCACAGCTACAAGTTGGCTCTGTGTACACACTGCACACTTATTTTTATAGAAAAGTGTTAGTTTGGCTTATACCTCAAAGATTTGTTATCATATCTTGATGGACCAGGGACATGAAAAGATTAGACCCTCCAGCCAATGAAGCTATGCTGGCACAACCCCTATTGTGGGTACAGCTATGCCAATAGAAGAATGCTTCTATTACACTGACTCCCCACACAGTGGAAGTTAAGTATTTGCAAAGGCAGAAGAAAACCTTTTGATGGCACATGCCACATCTCTAGTAGGGGCTTGGACACCATAGCCATGGGAGCAGGAGCTCCATAGCCCTGGTCTGTATTGCAAAAAATCACATCACTTCCTCAGCATAGTTCTCCTGACAAACCCCACAGTGGAATACAAGTACAAGCACAATGTGACTCCTGCCAGCAGAACTGCCAAGGTTCCTTCATTCCAGAAAAACATAAGTTGAATCTTTTAAATTAGGCCTCAAAAACTGAAGGCTCGATTTTATTAGACGTGTTTACCGTGAGCTGACTGGTTGCCAATTAACTCGTGATACTTAACTTGTTTGGAATGTTCCTTGCTTACCCTTATATACACTTTGATCCAGGGTACAAATGTTTATTTCTTACCAAAATCCTTGGGGTAATGAAAAAAACATGTTTAGCATTCAGAACAATTGATTAACTCCAAGTACAAGTTTAGGCATGCAATAAGCTCCTTTCTGATTTATGCAGACATTAAAGATCTTGGGACACTTTTTTAAAGGGAAGCTATTTTTCTTGCTGCTGACCAAAATTTCCCCTGCTCTTTCTGCTGTGCAGCCTCTTGTGGGACAGTTAGCTTCTACTCTCTAGCCAGAAGAAGATGCATTTTGCAAGTGTGCAGAATGTGCATACTTTGTGAGTGCTTTTGGTCTAAAGGGCATATAAATAGAAGATGATGATGTTGATAATATAGGTTGGTCGATTAAAATTCTCTTGCTCTTTGAATTTCTTTTACAGCATCCTCTCACAATGATAATGCTCTTCACTAGTGAACTTGAGGATCTCCTGAATTTCCTCAGTTTTGCCAGGTGGCTTTTTATTGGACTGGCAGTTGCTGGGCTGATTTATCTCAGATATAAATGTCCTGATATGCCTCGTCCTTTCAAGGTAACCTCCACAATCTTAATGTTTTACACAAGCTTGTCTAACCTGTACCTACCCTTGCCTCTGTCCACAGCCTGATGGCAAAGAAGTACATATTTTGGAATAAAGTATTAACCTCTTGGAGGAAAGATGAGTTAATAGCAGATGTATTCTTTAACACTAGGATTAAGATTCCCATCATGCCTGTCTTTAGCATTTTTGCTCTTCATCAGAGTTCTTAATCTAGTCATGTTTCTCTCCAGAGGAAAGAAGTCTTTCCTACTCACTGTTGATGAGGTTAGAAGAGGAGGATTTATAGATTATAGTTAGGCAGCTGTGTGAAAGTGAAGATGTTTGATCATTTCACATATGCACTGGGTTGAGGAAGTGAAGCACTAGTGTTCCAGCAGGCTGTATGAAAATACTTCCTAATACTACACAGTCAGTCTCAGGGTGGTATGCATTGGCCAGGGTTTCAACTGGTCCTCAATGGGTGTTTTGCTTTTGTGTAAATAATTGCACTCACATTTCTGGAACCAGAGTTTGATGCAGCCACAAACATTAGTAGTCAAACATCTAAGGCAGCAGTCTCTGCACTTTTTCCAATAATTTCATATGATCAAGGTAACCATTCATGTGTCTGAAAAAGCATTAGGTGTCAGCCGCAGCCATGGCTGGGGATGTGTCAGTGCTCCTGCTTCTGCTGGGACCATGACTTGGAGATTCCTGGTTGGAGGATCTTGCCCCCCCACTCAGGGTTAGACTGATCACTACATTGGGATCAAGAAGAAATTTTACCCCATGGTCAGATTGGTAGGGACTATGGGCATGAACACCGCGTGCCTCCAGAGGCTGGGGGGGCATGGCAAGCTCCCACAGGTGTCATTGGTGTTGTTGGTGGTGGGAGCATGGCAGCAGCAAGTGGGGTGCTCCCACAGCTGGGGCTGTTGGAGGTGGGGGTGGGGGGTTGCAAACACCAGCTGGTGGTTGGTGACCACCTGCAGATGTCACAGACAGCGTCAGCTAGTGGCAATTGCAGACCGCCTGCAGGCGCCTCCAGTGGTGTCAGCAGCGAGGGGGAGGGGGGGCATGGTGAGCAGTGACCACCCACAGGCTCTGCTGGCAGTGTCGTTGGCACCTTTTCAGAGGGGGTGCACAGCCATGCTCAGGGGGTGCATGTGCACCTGTGTGCACCCCCTGTGTGTCATCAATAACTATGGGGGTATTTGCCTTCCTCTGTGGGAAGGGGATGGACCTCTGCTTTGGATCTCTTGAGTTGATTGTAACAACCCTTGCATTGTTGGGAAACTGGCAGCCCTTGTTCCCCTGCTTTACCTGTGGCAGTTTAGGGTGCTCTTGGTGTGTTTGGGCAATGTGCCTTATAGGTGTGCAAAGGATAGAGTACAAATTTAGGAACTGGTTAGAGAAGGATTTGTATGGGATAATTTGGATTGGAATGATCCTATCTTGAGCAGAGGGTTGGACTTTTCTGTGATTTAACAGGGAATAGGGTTTAACTGTTTCTGAACTGCCTTGTGGTAACTATTTCTGTCCCTAAAGTTACCCCACAATAAGAGCTGAACTGTAGTAGTTTATGCCTGAAAGAAGCAGGACTAAGTTGCTTTTATTTAGCTGTCACCAGGCAAATCTACTCATGGTAATTTAAAATGCATTAGCCATTCTTAAGGTGCATTAAGGGCACAGGTCTAAATGTGTGTGCCCTTAATGCACCTTAAAATGGCAACTTTAGGCAAATCATGCCTAAATTTAATACCTGCTTAAAGCAAGTAACAAATTTAGGTTTGATTAATTAATGTGCATTAACCCACATTTAGATACTGTAAGGCACCTTAAAGCTATGTGACTGAATGGGCTGGAGCTGAGTGCATGGGGCTCTGTGTTGCTGCTGGGCACCACCAAGAAGAAGATGTGGTAGGTGCTGTTCTATAGGGGAAGGGGGCAGCGCAATGTGGGCAGGACATTTGCTAGTAGCTCCCTTGTGCTTCTCTTTTGGGGCGTGTTTGCTGGCCGGGCAATGTAGCCCTGCAGAAGTGGGACAGCTTGCTACCCATCCAGGATTCAGGTGCCCTTAGAAGTCCATGCTGGGGCTCCTGCCTGGGACAACAGGTGGTCTGAGACTGTGTCTGCTCCCACCACCCAGCATGGCTTTGCCTGCTCCACCCACCTCCATCCCAGGCAAGTGCCTGGCCTCTATGTCAGACACTGTGGGTGGGAGAGGTGGTGTGAGCTCCTGGGGGCTCTGCACAGCTCAGGCTGGGTGCAACACAGGTGGGGGCTCAGCTTTGGATCAGGTGGGCCAAGGAGAGAGCTGAACCCCCACCATCATTGCACCCAGCCTGCCTGGGCTGAGCTCCACAGAGCTCCCAGGAGCTCATGCCGCCTTGCATTTGCAGTGTCTGGCATGGATGCCAGGCTCTTGTCTGGGACAGAGATGGGTGCAACAGGGAAAGCTGTGCTGGGTGCTTGGGGCAGACACAGTCCCAGCCCATCTGCTGTCCTGGGTGGGAGCCCCAGCAGGAGCTCCTAAGGGCATCTGAATCCTGAGTGGGCAGTTAAATGTTCCACCCTGGCAGGGCTGCATTGCCTGGTCAGCAGACCTGCCCCAAGGAAGAGGCACAGGGGAGTCGCTAGGAAAGGCCCTGGCCATGCTGCACTGCTCCCTTCCCCTGCAGAACAACACCCACCATTTTTTCTTCTTGGTGAGGCCTAGTGGCAGCATGGAGCCCTGTGGGCTTCACTATCACTCACTGTTGTCCAATGCTGGGGAGGCAGGAGTATGGAGAGGTGGTTAGAGCCAGGGCCAGGGCCAGGCTGACCATGTCTGGGGGGACTGGAGGTTCCCACCCTATCAACCAGTGCTGGGCTGCACCACCTGGCTACTGGGCTGCTGCGGGCTTCTGGGGGCTGTCCAGGGTGCTGACCAGGGTGGCTCAGCATACCGCGTTAAGGCATCTTAAGGCATCCACCTGTAGATGTATGCCTAAATTGCTTTAATGCACCTCAGGTTAAGGTGCGTTAAGTTTAGGTATGTATAAATTCACATGTAGACACACCCACCATGGAGCACTTACAGTCACAAGTACAGTTATCACCAAGAAGCTGAGGCATATCGATACCATTTGTTGGTTGTTAGCTTGGGGAAATTGGGTGCTTTTTGGGTATCAGAGTTCCTTTAGTTAAGGAACTGCTGATATAAGGGATGGGCATTTGGTTTTGCTTTTTCTCCTTTTCTTGATCTAGATATAGATCCTTAATTTTTGCCCATCACCAAATTGGGGTACAAAAAGGTAGGCAGACTTTTAACTGCAGGTATTTGTGCTCAGCATTATAGTGCAGTAATCAGTAAACACTAAATCGTACCCAGAACATAATGCTGAAAATCTGCCCCATATTGCAGAGTAGTCACTGACTTGGATTTCACCACGTGTCCTAATGTAAGCAATATTCAGTATGCAAGTAGTACCTTACTATGGAAATAGAGCTATTGGGATTATTTGTGCAGCAGGATTGTTTGTAATGTGAGTAAGAGTGGCAGACTCCCTCCCTATTGAAATAAAAATACAAAATTTGCTTCACAGATAAAACTGTGTGTGTATGTGTGCATGCGTGTATATGCATGCGTGCATGTACCTTTATTGCATTCTTTTAGACACACATACAAAGAATGTCAACTGCTTAGTCTATTTTTCTTTGATTTCATTTTTAAAACACATTCACAATTCACAGTATAGAAACGGTAATGCTTTTAGGCATTAAAGCAAGGGAGAAATCTCTAGAGAATTATCCATTACACCAGCCATCTCACTAAGCAGTATGAGGAGGCACTTCCTTCAAAGAGGTGTAAAGACTGTGATTACAGTGCTGTTCTTGCAAGTTGAGAGAATTAATTTGATATTGCTATTTTTTCCACTTTCAAAATGACACTGATAATGTTATCAGTCATGTTGTCAGAAACAGTACTTCCCAGTAGCTATCAGTTGCATAATGCTATCAAATTTTTTTATCCGCAGTCAAATGGTGTTTAATTTGCCCTTCTCCTGCTAGATTTTGATTTTTACCTCTGGAAGAAAATCAATGTAATCTTAATAGTTTTAAAAGATAGTTGGTGACTTTGAGCTCCTTTCTCTGTCTTAAAATGGATTCTAATTGGTAATTATCAAAGAGGAAATCTTTACCATAGTTAGTGCTGCCACTTCTATAATGGAGGCCTGGAGAAGGGACTTTTGAGGATGTAACATATTTACAACCCTTCTTTTTTTTAAGGCATGAAAGTACTGTAGTGTTTTAGTATGTAATTAAGAGACATCTATGGTACTTACTGTATAACACTTTGTTTAATTTGCTTTCTTTAGTTATTGTCACTTCAAATGCATGTTTTAAACACCTGTATTTCTGCAGAACCATTTGATTTGATTTACATTTAATGGTACATTAACTACCACTGTCATCCGATAGCCAAGTTTTACAGTGTTTTACACTGCTATACACTGATTTTCTATACATAACCAGGATATATAGGTAATTTGTACAAAGAAATATATATCTTTTTTGATTTGTGTTTCAGGTGCCGCTATTTATTCCAGCACTGTTTTCCTTCACCTGTCTCTTCATGGCTGCACTATCACTTGGCTCTGATCCTCTCAATACAGGGATCGGTTTTGTGATAACCCTGACTGGAGTTCCAGCTTACTACCTCTTTATTGTGTGGGATAAGAAGCCAAAATGGTTCAGAAAGATCGTAGGTAAGCCCATGGTGATGTGGGACTCTTTTGGCACGCTTTCTGCTGCCCAGAATCCTAATTTATTCCACAACGGTTGGTTTTGTTAGTGACAGCAGTGCAGCCTTCCTCTTCAGTCAAATGCTGTAACCACAGTTTCACCAGTTAAAATAAATACCAACTAATTAAAGGGCCATGTTTACAAGCAAGGCCATTCTTTAAAACAATTAGCCTGTCAGGCATTTTTCTGAAACAAAAGGCATTTCAAATAATTGAATTCCCTTTCCTGCTTCCCCATTTGACTCCATTTGACTCAGGTCATTGACCTTCCTCCCCTAGCCATTTGCCTACTTTAATAAATGAAGCATTTCCTTGACAGAACAGCAGATTTTTGAAAACTAAAATATCACTGTCATGAATATAGACCTGCTTCTGTGCTCTCTATGCAAACAAAGGTTAGGGCATGCCAAGATCTCAAGTCCTTTATTAAAACAATCTTCAGGTATATGATTCTGAACAACTATTGAAAACAAAGCTATAAGATTAGACATATTGGTCCTAATGTATCATTCTGACGATTGGATACGTATTTCTATTGTAATAGCTTTCAGCATATTCTCCTGCAGTAATTTAGCTTTGATATGTAAGGAAAATAATTTAAATACAATTTTTGATGTTTCAAAAGTATTTGGGAGTTTTTCACCTGTTGAAGAACTGATACAGTAGCATAACTTAAGGAAGGAACCTGGGCAGCAGCCCCAGTTACTTTGTGTGCATGTATTGGGGGGAGGGAGGGAGCACAAAAAAAGCTGCGACCACACTGAAGGCTAATTGTGTCACTGCAGTTGGCACGGTAGCAACTAGCATGGCCCAGGGCCTGGAACTATATGCTGCTATGCCTCTGAGAAGATATCTGAAGCACTTTTGATTTACAAAAAAAAAAAAAAAAAAA